TCTAAAGCCATTATATCTACATATAAATGTTAATCTATGTGTAATAACAAGATGAGCAGCAAAAAAATAAAATTATCTTTTTAAACTTGACCATTGGATGAGAATAAGTACATAGGTGGTATCACATAGAATATAAACGTCTCATTTAAGCATTTAGGTAGTAATGCCCATATCAATCGTTTAAATTTGCACACATGCTCTTACACTAGTATGAGAAACAATAATGAGTGTGAGGTGAAGAGTTTCTAACTATATCGTTCAATACATTCTCTTTGCTTCTCTCACTATAAATGTGTGAAAAAAAGTAGAAACTAGAAAAAAAAAATTGAACATGACCTTTTATATTAGTATTAATTGAGTTTAGCTATTAAAGGAAGTTGATATCTGTTTAAGTTTCCATAATCTAATTTTATTACTTATCAAACTTGACTCATTAAGCATGGTCATTTGAGTCATTCATAGTGCACTATAAATTAGTTATTGTCATAAATTTCTATTTCACCACTTTCATGTATTGCATACGGGAAAAAAGCCATCAAATTCAACTAATCCATTATCTCTCTCTTTATTGCTTTTTATTTTTTGTAAACACCTTATCATCAATAACTTGCACTCCATCTCTTTCATAGTACTAGCAAGCAAACCCATGCAAATGAATGGGGTTAAACAAAAAAAAAAAAAAAGAGGATGAGTTTGGATTGGCAAATTTTGGTTTTGACATCATATTCTAAGCCAATGTCCTTGTTCAAGATTGGCCTATGGCCTATGGTTGGCACTTAACCCCACCCAACCCATCTAATTTGTACCCATGCTTTATGACAATGCCAAAAAAATATCAAAGATATTTAGGCCCTGTTCGCTTTTTGGTAAGTTACTTACCCGGGTAGATGCAGTTACTTGGGTAAGTTTTTCCTGGGAAACACTTACCCAGGTAAGTGCATTTACCCATGTTCTTTTATTTATCATGTAAATAAGGCAATGACCAATTTAGCCATAAAAATCCATTATTAAAAGGGGCATTTTTGTTCCATTCAAGTGTTGGTAACTTTCCCCCCAGGTGGGAAGTTATTTACCCACCTAGGAGATGGGTATCACTTACTCGACTAAGTGGTACCTAGGAAAATAAACTTTCCCTGGCCCCCATATAATTTTGAAAAAACAACATGAGATTCTCGGTCAATGGGAATTAAAATCCCATTGACCAACTTTCCCCTCTCTCGAAATCCGAAAAAAAGAACACCCCCTTAATAGGAAATAAGGGATTTAGTGTGGCAGGGGAAGATGTTACAAACATTGACTATTGAAGAGAGGGAGAAAATTAAGAACAATTTTATTAGAAAATAGCAACAAAAGATTTTAATACGGAATTAAGACATAAGAGGGTTTTTAATATTTGTTGTGTATAAAGGAGAGACTTTGAGACTCCATGTGAGGCTTGTGGTCAAAGAGCCTTGGCCTCCGCACATTCCTCTTTCTATTATATACTAGAAAATGACCCCTTGCATTAAGTACAAGGCTGGTATATTACGATTCTTTTTATTCATGTATTTTAAAAATATTGTTTAACACCCATTTTTTATGTTGTAAATGTAGGTTACTATTTTATTTGATATTTTTGATAGATAGATTTGTTATTTACTTAGAGAGATTAAATCAAGTTTTATGGTCTTTTAATTTGCTTTGCAGTTGGAATTGCAATCAAAATTGGAATCAAAACCCATTGAATTCATAATCGAAATGATCTACACAATATTCCCCCTCTTGTTTGGTTCAGGTTGGAATTGAAATTGTAATCAAAATTGGATGGAATATATTTTCATTCCCAAGGGAGGATGGCCATTTCCGCAATTGGGGGGGTGCCATTCCACCAGGAGTGGGAATCAGATTCCAATCTCGCCCAACATGGCCCGATCATATTCCAAACATCTTGTCAGAAACAGTTGGGATAATGTCCGCCAATTTTCAAATTGTAAGGGTACACTTAGTCAATTAGCTAAACCATAAGGGTAGTTTAAGATATTTACCGTTTATTTTATGGGAAAATCTATGATACAAAAAATATATGATATGGAAAGAGTTTTGACCAATCAAAACCCACCCATGAAATGAAACCCAGGAGGGTTAGTGAAGTGAAGGGATGGAGTTGGTCATAGAGCACCAGCCATTCCCAATAAAACACCGTGCACCCTTTGTTTTAGGGTCCGATTTGTCCCTGTCCAAACAGAGGAGAAACTATTTTGAAAGTAGGTAGTGTTTGAGAACACTTAAAAAGAAGTACTTCTTTTAAAACATGGGACCACACGTTAAGTGGTTTTTAAGTACTTACGGGTGTTTGGTAAAAAAGTGGGGAAGAAGTATTTTTTTTAAGTAATTCTCTAAAAAAATGGGACGAACCAGTCCCTGATAATTTTTATAATACCTAAAATACCCCCTCAAGGGTTATACCTCATCCTCCATTCATTCGAACCTCAAACCCAAGTAACGACGCACCAGTTGCAGGTCCACCGGTGAGACGAGTCCAAGGATTTAACAATCGAGGCCATGGATTTGCTGACGGTGGCCATCTTGGCCTGTGTGTCGAGGCAAGAGGAATGTTCTGTGAGAACATTTTTCTGTGAATAGTTTGGCCTTGGAGACTCCCGTCGATTTCTAGGGTTTGTTTTAAAGATTTATGAATAGTTTCGATAACGATTTGCTCTCTGTAGGTATGCATTTTTTTCATAGTTTGTGTTCTATAAATTTGATTTGTTCTTCTCTTAACCTTTTTATTTATTCGTAGTTTCTGACTGGAGTCATTAAAGGAAGGTATGGGGTTTTCAAGTGGTCATTGACTCATTGTTTTCGATATATACGTTAATATTTGTAAGTACTGTTTGAATTTTCGTTCTGAGATTATATGAAGCCTGTTTCAATTTTCCTTGTTTGTTGTAATTGAGATTTAGTTTCACGTGCTGGTTTTGTCAAAATTATTGTTAACCATTATGAGGCCTTCTGTTCTCTTTATGTTTGAATTTTGCAATTTTTTCTGTTATTTTCGAGATTTTCTTTCTTAGTTTAATACTCTATTTCTAGTTTAATGTTTTTTTTTTTTCCAATTTGTCTTTGGATTCTTTCTTCCTGCCCAAGCCTGTATTGTTGACTTGTTTATTGATTCCGTTCTACCCCTTTTTCTTTTGGTTCTGTATATACAATTTTAGATTATTTATCCCCACCCCACTTTTAATCTGTCGATTCTGCTTTCCAGTTGAACCATGAAGTATAATTCCATGTCCATTTTTCTTCCCCTCTTTTTGTGACCTACAGGGACAATGTGATAAAACTTGTTGGTCTTGATAGATTGGACTTAATGCATGGCTATATAGATTTGTTACTAATTAATCTTATCAAACATGGAGTTGGATAGAAATACTCCTTCCATACTATTTCTTGAATAGTTTTTATTGGTGCCATTGGTTAGTCTATGTTATTACGTGGACTTCTTCCTAAAACCCCTTTTTATGAATCTATGTTCCATTTTCTTCGAGAATATATTTGTTAGAAGCGTACATATTGTAGCATCAGAACATTCTTTCGGAATTAATAAATTTTTGTTTGTTCTTTTTATGAATCTGGTTCATTAGCTTGTGATCTCGGATTTATCGTCCTTCTTGCACTTGCGAGCTTGGCATTGGAGGCTGTTTGACATGAATTTAAGCTCCATGGTCTGATTCATTAGCTTTTTTGCATTTCCCATGGCGATGAATCAGTGAATCGATTTCAATCGATTGATCAATCTGTTAGGATTAGGGTTTCGGTGAAGTGTCAAATAATTATTAATTATTAATTATTATTATTATTATTTTATTAATGGTTATTTATTATTATTATTAACTAAGTTTACATGGCAATTCATGTGTGGGTCCATGTGGGCTCGTAGTTGTCATGAAGTGGATTTCACGTGAGCTCTCAGTTGAAATGTATAGTATAACATGTGAAAAGCATTGTATATATGTATGAGTGAAGTAAGAGCTAAAATTATCATTTGTGTCAATATAAGCATTTATAGAGAAAATAGCTTACCAAAAATTCTCACCCCAATAAGTGTTCAAGAACATAATAAGTGATTTAAAAAGTAGGTTACCAAACATTCTTAAGTAATTGTTAAAACAATTAATTATTTTACAAATACTTCTTTTTTAACAAGTACTTAATCATCAAACAGGGCGCCTCACAAGCACATCCTACCATGTATTGGGAACATCTCCGGTACTTACGAAATATTCCCAATGCACGGTGGATGTGCACGTGAGGCGCCCAAGTGTGAGGAGCAGATCCCGTTCCCTTCTGAAACCGAAGTCAAAGAATCCAGTGTGTCTGACGAGCTGAGTCGCCGTGAAGTACCAGAGACGACCGTCGATTTGGATAGATTAACTTGTTTGTCCCGACCACCTACCATACTGCTGAAGTGAGGCTATCACCGAAAACCGAATATTATTCGAAATGCATTGTAGTTGCACTCAACTGCACTGCACTGTGGTTAGACTCAACCATCATATTTTCATATTTACAGGTTGTGTTGTGCCAATATTGGTGGTGGTGGTGGTGGTGGTTATAAACTGAAACATGGAAGATGAATCGGAAGTATAGAACTGATGCCCGGCAAACCTCACTCATCGCACCAACCTCACAGCACGTTGCAGCCGTGCATTTCGAATATCTCCCCATGAGGTTGGTGTTGCCGGTGTGCAGCTGCAACTGCTGTGAGGTTGGTTTGAGGAGCAAAGCCGGCGGCCGGATTCCCCCTAAGCAGAGCCTTTGAGAATTAGCCCTAGCTATGTGGTCGCTGCCATGGCAGCAAAATCATAACCGCTAGCAACTACGCTGTTGAGAAGTCTGCAACGATTGAAACTTGAAATTGAATGGAGGAAGAGATTTTCTTCACTTTTCACTTCTCTCCTTTATGAAATCTCTATTTTACTCCTTTTTTTTTTTTTTATTTAAAGAAGGTTCGCCACTTCGCCTTGCATTTAATGAACCATATATGCCCTCGTCTCTTCACAAAAGCCACAACATAGTTTAACCAAAGCGTAAAGGGTAATCATGTCTTTCCACATTACTTGCTCGTCTTCTCTTCTCCTCTCCTCTCCTCTCCTCTCCTCTCCGCACAAAGTTGAAACGAAGAAGACTTTCGGTGAAAACGGAGTTGCAGGCAGAATATCAACATAGAGAGAGATAAAAATAGATAGCGTAAAAGAAAGGAAGACTCGGCAATGGCCATGACTGCTCCTCGCCTTTACCTACGCACCACGGCGCAAATTATCAAGCAGTCCTCTGCATCCTTTCTCTCCAGCCTTTACGTATTCCTCTTCCTCTCTCTCCTCCTCTTCTCCTTCCGTACTGTTGTCGAGAACGGCACCCTTCTCGTCACTTCCTTCATCGATCGGGATCCTTCCTTGAAGGCATTACTTTCACGCCTTGATCTCTCCGGCCAGAATGTACGATCTCCGGAAAGTTTCAGATCTCCGACCGCCTTGACCCGTCGGCGCCGCCCGTTCCTTCATTTGAGCCGCGTTGGCACTCTTGAGGATGATTTCTTCTCCGGCGATGACGACGATGATCGGGGTTTGTTTGGACTTGCTCCTCCAGATCCTGTGAATGGTAGTGTTGTGAATCTGAGCCATTTCTTCCGGAGCGAAGGGAAACTAGGGTTTTTGGATTCGGAGAAGGGTTATGGGATTACGTTTTCGGAGATTGTTGGTTCAGGATTTCTGTTCAAGGCGGAGGGTTTCTCCTTGACTGATGATGCTGATGGCGATGGTAGCAGTGAGATGAATGAAGCAGCGGTTGGAGAAAAGGGGGAGGAAGGGGATCGGCCTACGGATTTTAAACTATTAACTAAGGGTTTGGAATTCGGTCGCCGGGACGCGGCGACTTTGTTTTTCCTGGTCAGTTTCTTGTCGGCAGCATATGGTTGGGTGATTCTAGGGTTCTTGATAACACATTCTTGCCTTCTTGGTGTCGTTTTTTATGCTGTGGTTAACGACCATTTGAGGAAGTATCGTTCGTTTGTGAGGACGATTTGGGCTGGCTCGTGGCTAGGAATCAGGAGGATTTCTGGATTTGTGCTCATGAAATGGGCTGTCAGAGATGCGCTGACGCAACTCCTCGGTCTGTGGTACTTCGGTGAAATTGAAGACCAGTACTCGTTTTTTAAGTTGTTTGTGCGATTGAAATTGATGCCATTGTCCATCTCTTCTCCTTGGATCCGTGGATTTGAGACAGAGATCTCGGGGTTTCTGTCTACGTGGTTTTTCTTGGATGTGTTTGTAGCTTTTGTGTTCGCAGTGGACTGCTGGGTTGCAGTTATGGATACAAGGAGGAGTGGGAGGGAAGTCATTAAGGAAGGGTGTTACTTGATATCTACAATGTTGACACACTCAGTTAACTTAAAATGCTTGGAAATCCTCTTTGTGTCTGTTCTGAGATGGGTTGTGGCTCGATTTTTTGGGGAATTGTTTGCTTCATTTTTCCAATCGATTGTAGAAGTCTATTTTATGGTAGCTTGGTTAATTTTATACTTTGCTGCTAGGTGCAAGGTTGCCAATTCAGATGGAAGGACGTTTGGCCTGGGAGACTTGGAGGATTATATTAGTGGTCTCAGATGATTGTGGCTGTGACAGGGTGACAGTTCACTTGGAAGCTCCGAATGCATCTGTAAAATATTGGTGACCTTTTGATGCTTTAGGTATTCTTGTTTAGCGCAGTTGGTGTGGATTGATTTCTGCCAATTTTTTTGGTGTATTCACCAAGCCTTCTGCCTTGTATGTACCTTATCAGTGAGTATATGAAGTTGTGTATATTTCCACGGGAAGGCTTTTTTGTATAAATGTTCTGTCCTGTTTTCTTGGTGATAGTGACATAACAAATTGAGAATGGTCATGACTTACTTTGCTCAAAGCCAATCTTCATGATCCTTATATGTTACTTTGCTCAAAGCAATTTGGTTCTATCTTCTATTGCCAGTTTTTAGTTTCTTTGCTTTCTTTTACATTTCTTGCACAGATGAAAGCACCTTTGGTGTACTGGGCTAAAAGGGTTGTTGTATAATTGCATTTTTTGTGCAAAATACTGCATTCTATGAAGTCCATGTTTATGTACATGGTTTGCCAAATGGATTGGAAAGCAGATTTTCTCCATTGTATAATTCATTGAAACGTTTTTATCAAGAGCAAACCAATTGGTTTGCCTTTTGATGCTTTAGGTAGGTTTTATTGGGAGTTCTCTTTAGTTTGCCTTTTCATGGGTTAGTATATACCCAGAAGGGTGTAAAGGGAGCATGTGGAGGATCTTTAAAAATGAAACCTTATTAGGAGCAGCACTCAGTACCAAGAAGAATAATCTTTATGGTTTTTTTTTTTAACATATTTACAGCTGATTGTCATTGAGGGTTCTTGAAATGATGTTGGTCCTTTATGATTTTCGGGATGATCAACTATCAAATGATTCAATGAACCTCCTTGGAAGTTGTAACTATCTATTTTGTGTTTTGCCAGATATGGATGTTAAGATGAACACAGATATGGGGAACTAGAATATGATTGATTCTCTGATCTATTTCCTAAGATTCTGGACATGGACATGGACATGGATACAGGCATACCATTTAATATGCTTGTGCCATGTTTTTATATCTAGCTTTTGAAGCTAAATGCCGTTTCTCAATACTTTTATTTTGCCAAGTTAGTTAAAATTTCTAACGTATGCAGAGTTTTACATATGTATTTTTGAAGTGAAATGCTAGTAAACAATGACCTTATACAACTCTTGGTTTTCTTTGCCCTACAGATATGGTGGGACCCATGCAAAGAACCTAAGAGTTGCATAAACTTGTTGTTTACTGGCATGTTAAGACATACAATTTTACATATTTTACAACTTTACAAGTGTTAATGCCATATAAGATACTCTACAATAGATGTACGGGTAAAGATATTCTGTGGTCAACTTGTACATCTATTTGGAAAATGAACCCTATAAATTAGATGTTCAGCAAAAGAATGCCTGTTTATGTGAAATCCTACTAAAGCTAAAACTGCTAGAACAAATCCCCCTCCCCTTCATAGAAAAGGGAATTAATAGCTGTAGTAATGGTATGCAAATTTAACAATGGATATGGCACTGAACAGAATGGAATGGTGAACAGGATTATCCCCCCTTCCCCTCATAGAAAAGGGAAATAATAGCCATAATAATGGGTGTGCAAATTTAACAATGAATATGACACTAAACAGAATGGAATGGCAAACAGGATTCATGTAGCTGACACCATTAAGTTGGGACAAGGCTTAGATAATGATGTGATGATTGATGAATTGTACGCAATAGTGAGAAACCCCTGTACTTCTGTTACCCTGTTATTAGTTCCAGTTCCCAGACTTAGAGCCTGGACAAATGATGACTCATCAAGTCACCCCAAGGTGCTTTCTTCCAAAGCTTGAAAGGTTCGAAACACGAGAAAGAGAATGCTCTTTTTTCTTAAATTTATTTATTTTTCATTTATCAAAAAAATTATTTACTTTTGCTCTACTTATTTATTTAATTTTTCTTGAACGATTCTTCTGAGCTTGTGTAGGTGCTTGGTGCTCGAACAAAGGCTTGTTACCAAAGGCAGTATATATGGTGGCTGCTTGAGTGGGGACTGCTTGTGATTAGAAACCAAAAATATACAGGGAACGTGGGGTGTCATGGTGATGATGGACATTTCCTATTTGTTCCTGCTACTAAATTTGGAGGCAACTTATATTGAAGCATTTATCCAGGTGAGAGGATCAAGTTCTCAGAATTTGGGGGATTATTGCCATCTTGACCTTATTCTTGACTTATTTGTTACAATCCTGTCCTGTCTTTACATGTCTGCTTGGAGGCAAAATACTACTACTAGATAGTGGGCAAGCTCAACCCTGTTTGTGTGTGTGCCAAGTCTGAAACCAGCATTGGTGATATGATTGGAAGTTTACTTGGGATTTTGTTAATGCACTAAACCCTTGAAATGATGTATATATTTGTCTTTGGTTACCGCTCTGTAAAATTGATGCAAAATCCAATTCTTATGATGTTACTTTCATTCTGTTGCACATTTTTGTGGGACAATATTAACTCGAGGACCTTATGGAATATATTATTGAGGAAAAGAGAACCTCAAGGGTTACATTGCAATGTCAATGGTACTTCGGTGCTAGAACACTTTTGGAGGTGTTTGGTCCAACTTGATCCAACTCCTTAAGCCAGGCCCAGAGGACAATGAAGCAGAGAGCTCACGTGAGAGAGCTAAAGGACAACTGGTTTTTCACAGGAGGCCACATCAGCCATGACAACAGAAGTTAGTGCAGATCCCTAAGCCTAACTGAAATGATTTTATTTGTAATAATGTCTATATAAGAGGTTTCATGTATGGGAAAGGCATGAAAAAACATATCTGAGTTTTCTCTTCCTTTCTTCTTCCTCTCTCCATTTCTGTTTTGGAGGGTGGTTCCTCGAAAAGACCCTGGTTAGGCAGTTCCTAACATCTGATTTCAGAGTGAGGTCATTGCCCAGTATCAGAGCAACGACCATGGATTCACGTAGATCAGATGGAAGTCGAGTTTCACAAGGTAACATCAGAGATCAAGGAAATCAAAGAGGCCTGTCAACAGTGGTGGTGCGATTTGATCAGATGACTCAAAGCTCCAGCAGAGAGGTGGAACAAGGAGAATCAAGCCACAACGGTTTCAGGAGAAATGGAGCTGGATTTGGTAAGGGCACTAAACTTGATTTTCCTGTTTTCACCAGAGATGATCCAACCCCTTGGACCTATCGAGCTGAGAAATACTTTGAATATAATGAGACCCCTGAACTTGATTGATTTTCGATAGCTGTCATCCATTTGGATGGAGAAGCCATCCTATGGTACCAATGGTACTGCCATTCTCACCCTCGGATGACCTGGGCTGAATTTACTAATGCTCTTTGCATCCGCTTTGGACYTTCTGGGTATGTGGAYTATGATGAGAGTTTAACCAGACTGAAGCAACAAAGGTTGCACAAGAGTACTAGGCGGAGTTTGAAAAATTGGCCACTCGGGCCCAGGGCTGGCCTGAGAAGGCATTGGTTGGATNGACTGAAGCAACAAAGGTTGCACAAGAGTACTAGGCGGAGTTTGAAAAATTGGCCACTCGGGCCCAGGGCTGGCCTGAGAAGGCATTGGTTGGATGTTTGGTACAAGAGTACTATCCTACCGCCATTGGGTTAGCTCAGTTTTTTGAAGAGAAGAACCAAGCGAAGAAGGCCGTTAAAACTTAAAACCCCTAGTATAAATAACTAAACCCTACCGCTGAACAAAGGGGAATACTGGGCAAACCTAATCCCTGTCCTAATAGGCCATCTGGGCCAGTAGTACCCCTTAAAAAACTGACGGGCCGAAATGCAGGCCCACAGAGAAAAGGGTTTCTGCTACAATTGTGATGGAAAATTTGGGCCGGGCTACAAATCAAGATCCAACAGACTTTCCTACTTGAGACCAATGGACCTGATGAGGATAATGAAGATTTAGGTCCAATTCTAGACACTGGAGGTACCGAAATGGGCCAAAGCCCGGTTCAACCAAAGATTTCACTATAGGCCTTGAGCGGGATGTTCTCACTACAGACCATGAGGGTCTTAGGATTTATTTCAGGCCGCCACATGTCCATATTAATTGACAGTGGCAGCACCATGGATTTTATCTTGTGCACATTGGTTAAACAATTGGGGCTGACAGTTCTACCCACCACAATATTTTTGGTTTGGGTGGCTAATGGAGAACAGTTGACATGTGATGGTATTTGTGCCGACTTGACCCTCAAGGTGCAAAGTTACAGGTTCAAAGTAGACTTACCCCTTGGTGTTTAGTGGGTTAGACATAGTTGTGGGGATCCAGTGGTTAAGACGCCTAGGCCCCATGATATGTGACTGGAGCTGTTTAACCATGGATTTCCAATTTGGGGAACACTATGGTCCACCTACAAGGCTATGATGTCAGATCTCCCAAACCGGTGGACTTGGCCATGATCAGCTGAATTGGGCCTGACCCAGACCTGCCTTCCTTCATGTGTCTTGGAGCTAGTAATGGGGATCCATTTATGTCACAATCAACTGGGCCGAATGGGCATGATGACTTTTAGCAGAGATTAAACAGCCTCTTAAAGCAATATGATGTGGTTTTCAGTGAGCTCAGCAGCTTGCCACCTCAAAGAGCCCACAATCACAGAATTCCCTTGGCACTTGGGAGCCCACCAATTTCCGACCCTATCGCTATCCACACTACCAGAAGCAAGAGATCTAGAAGTTGGTCTAGGATCTCTTGGATAAGGGTTTCATACAACTCAGTCATAGCCCATTCTCATTACCAATTTTATTAGTAAAAAAGGATTGTTACCCTAAACAATATTACCATAAAGGATTGTTACCCTATTCCAGTGATTGATGAATTGATGGATGAGCTCCAACAAGTTTGGGTATTCTCCAAGCTTGATCTGAGATAGGGGTGGAAGTTGGGCGGGTTGGGCTGGGTTTATGGTCAACCCAGGCCTGGCCCTAAAACTTGGGCTTAAGGCCCGAGCCTGAGGTCAAACCTGATTTTCCCAACCCGAGCCCAGCCCACACTGTAATTTGATGCACTCGGGTTGGGCTTGGGCCCGGGCCGGGCTCAGGTTGGTCAATGAACACACTCTAAAATTATACATATTTAAATATATTTATGCAAATATATATACATATATTTATGTATATATGTAAATATGTATGCAACATTTACAAACTACTCTTGAAGTTCTCAAACAAAATAAGCTCTTTGCAAAGGGGAGCAAATGCAGTTTTGGTCAAACCAGGGTCCACACATAGTGGAGGACGACAAGGCCATGGTAGATCCAAAGAAGGTTTCATGTGTGGCCAACTGACCCAGGCCCAAAACAGTGAAGGAATTGCGGGGGTTTC